CAGGAGAAGATCCTGATGGCTAAAGGCAGCTGGTGTTTGGAACACCACAAATCATAGTTCAACACTTGCATCCTATTTTCATAAGTAAAGAAACTTTTAGCACCATTTGGTCTATTTTCTAGGCTCAGTTACTTGGATCTTTAAGAATATAAATGATAACAATTCTTTACTGTTGTTGTTTTAATACTAATCTTTATTAAAAGTTAGCTATAAGTTGCATACAATTGCTTTCAGCAAATACATAAATGATTGCAATTGTTCTCTTGATGACAGTGTATTACTAATTTATGTCAACCTATAAGTTGCACACTGGTGCTACCAATCACTCCAAAAACAAAATTCAAGACTGCATTAAGTCATAGACATCTGGCAGACAGGACCAGATTAAGAAAGAAACAGGAATTCATCAGCACATACCCAAACAGTAATGATACTAAAGGAAAATTACAATAGTTACAAATCATGGGATATTGTTACAAAGAAGGAAACTAGCATTCGTCCCCATAAGAACATTAATCAAGTCCAACAGTTTTAGTTCTAGAATTAAGAACCAATGGATACTCAGCCACAAGAAAACAGATGCTTAGGAAATAATTGTCCTCCATTAGCTAAAGTGAATGAGATAAAAAGTCAAAACCACCAGCAGAAGAAAACCCAACCACGTTACATTCTTCATACATACCAAGTACTCTATCCCAATTTATTTATCATATTGTACTATTTCTACTATACCAAAATAATGATATTCTATATATAGAAATAATTTCTCTTCTTTGTACGCAACCTTACGCCTACCCTGTGAAGGTAGAGGTGGTTTGTAAAATTGCGTGGTCAACAGGCTCAAGTAAAGCGTATCATAATGAAGTACGGAACAAAAATAAAGTAATGAAGAAGCCTTGCTATCGGTAGCTGAAGCAAAGGACCAGAGCGCAACAACAGGTAATAATAAAATCAAAGACTACGATAGTATTACGAGAGTAATAATTATAATACTAAGTAAAACTAACTACCTACTAAATGTTTACACTAATACTCGACCTCTCCTTCCTATCTAGGAAAACAATGTCCAAAATACTGTGGCTATAACTTTCTACATTCACAACCAAGACCCTTTTCATTCTCACTTAGCCTCCACCCTAAACTAAACCTAAAACCAGAACACTCCCATTTCAAATCTAACCCCATTACACCAAGTAATCAATAAAACCTTCAACTTTCAGCCTTATACAAAAAATTACATCCAAGGCATTCTTCCTTAGCCCCCCACCCCACCCTACAACCAAAATCCCCAAACCAAACCCAACACCAGAACAATCCCACTTCAGATCTAACCCCATTTCACCATATTTCCCCAAGTAAACAAAAAAAAACTCAACTTTCAGCCTTATACAAATAATTGACAGTATAACTCAAATATAAGCAACAGAAACAAAGACAAAAGTTAATTGAGGTTGAGATCATACAGGGAAGAAATTGGAAGTGTTAATGGTAAGCAGAGAGATCTCATCCACTTTAGGTCTGAACACAGCAAGTTGTGAATTTGAAGACGAAAGAGACAGCCTCTTATCACAAGGAGACAATTGAACTGAGCTGTTGACGAAAAATGATGTTCTTGAAGAAAATGCTATTCCAAAGCTAAACCCATCCGATCTCTGCACTTTTGCATCGGCACAAGGTGAGTATACATGGTTCGTGTCGCTGCGCGATTGTGCTAAAAGGGACAGAGATGAGATTAGTAGAAAGACTAGTAGTAATGGTAGCCTTTGCATCGCCATTGTTAGAGAACTCTGGTTCTGTGAAGACTCAAAAGAGTGGAAAAGACAGCGGACAATTTGGGCCTTCACAACGATTATTAATTTATTATATTCTACCAAACACAAATAACATGTTATCAACATTTTATGTTCGACACTCACAAGTCACAACTAAATATTTAAAAGCTCCGTCATTTTTCGTCGAATAATATATAAATATAACTCGACATCAATTGAAAATTATGATCTTAAATTTAATATGCATAGGTAGTCGCATAAATTTGTATAAAATTAAATAAATAAACACATTCATCTTATGTGACGTCCAACGTTGCAATTTTGTGTCCTTATGTCAGGTAGAACACGTGTATCTATTTATACAAGTTTAAATATCTATTCAAAGTTGAAGGGTATAGTTATCCGCTGAAGCCAAGTTACTGGTCATGTTTATATATTATTTCATTTATTCATTATCATAAAATGTTACTCAAAGTTTTTAGTATTTAAATTTATAAAAGGAAATTATGATAACTAAAAAGGGACCGAGAATGCATACTTTTAACTTAATTTGAGAGTTGATCCTATAAACATTTCAAACTTTAAAAATGTATATTTAGACTCCTTTAAATATGCATTTTTAGAGTTAATGTTTGAGTTGAGCGGTTCAAATGGTCATAATGAAAAGTGAGGGTGTTCTATTGTTAATGGAGAGTTCTATTATATGTTGTGTTGTTTAATTAGATATTGAGTAAGATTGTTTTTTTTGAAGCATATGATTAAGAGCATATATTTGTGAACCAAGTTGCAAAGTCAATCAATAGTGATTGAAGATTGTATCAAGAGTTAACTTTTATCCCATTTCTATTTATCTTGGTGATAAATGAATTGACAGCCATTGAATTCACCCCAATAGAATTGAGACATACTTCACATGAAAACGACATATTATATCAGACCAACAACATATACAAGGTGTACTCCCATAAAATGGGGTGTGGAAAGGATAGAATGTACACGACTATACCCCTGCCTCATAGGTAGAGGTGATGTTCCCAATAGACCCTCGACTCAATAAAACAACGACAGTTAGTGATGTATGTAGTATGTACAAGAATCAACGATAATAACGACTTAAGCATCTGCTACTGCTTTGGAGTCTGCAATTAAACTCATACTGAAGCCAAAGGTTATGCATGACAATTCCTGATTGTTTCCATCCACCATTTTCATCGTAAGAGTATACGAGCCCTGAATAAAACCAACCCCCTGTTAGACTCGACAATGCAGGCAAAGGCACCTTCTAATAGAGGAAAGTTATGCAGAATGAAACAGCAGAAAATGATATCATAACAAGATCAGAGCAAAACTGGAAAAAAAGGACTTACTGGAGGAGCGAATCCAGGTAACGCTTGAGAGTGTGAAAGCACAAAATCACCAGAAATGGGGCAAGATGTCTCTTTACAAATGTCACGAGTCTCATGATGTACGTGAAGGAATAGATACTTGACGTCAATAATCAACTTCCCGCCACTGATATTATCATCTGCAGGAGAAAATCACAGTGTCACTTTTCTACTCTTATCCCAGAAATGTACACAAGTCATGCTTGACATCTAATTTTGAGAGGTCAAAGCTTCCTGTGTCCTGCAAATCTCACATAAACGAATCATAACGTGTAGCTGCAAATGAAGGGGAAAAGATACCTAATACAGACCCATACTAGTGCATATTGGTAATATGCAGCAACGCGAGCTATTAAAGGAAACACGTTGTAGATATATATATTTCATAGTAAAGTGATTGCACGATACGACTGACCATAAGTACATAACCAAGTAAAGTCAAAAGCAGGCTCAACATTTTACTGCTATTCTCAACAGTACCCCTCAAGTAGTATCGTTGTCATTCCAACCAACAAAGCCACGCTTTCCAAACATCAAAATGAAGTAAGAGACCGACTTTATCAGCATCACTTTACTAATGAACTTCAACATTATTACAAGGTTCAATGGTGTGTATAATTTGAACGGAAATGGGGCTCTCCTACAAATTGAATTACTACGAAAGAACAGATTCCTTGATCCCCCGATTCTCCTTCAAAGATAACATAATCTATTCCCTCCACTCTTTGCTTATAGCATAGCATTCTTGCCACCATTTTCCCCGAAAAAACAAGTGTGTCTTATCGCAGGCAAAAGTATCAATCATCTCTAATCTTTTGTAACTAGGCAATAACCAAAAAGTCGATCAATTTTAACTTCTTACTGATTTCAGATCACGAATCACTACATCAAGGTCTTAACTACTGATGGAAGAGATAAGGACCAAAAAAAACAAAAACGATAGAACAAATAAAGACGCGAATTACCTGTAATTGCAGCAATACTGAAAGTAGCCTCTTTACCCCCTTTAACAGGATAAGGTGTTATATCTACTCCATTCACCTTAACAGCATAATCGGCCTTCTTATCTGCATTATCAAACCAAAAAACTCTGGCTGTGGTTATGTGATGCAGCAAATTTAGCATATAAAGGACCGTTTATATAAGCATTTTTTTAATCAAACAAAACACTATGACTTGTTTAGAATCATAACTACCTAACATTAAATAACCACACAATGCTACAATTAATTCAAATTATATAATATCACATCAATTAAATTGAAACCGGACGGAGAAAACAGTAAAAATTCTCAATTTTTTCCATTTTAGAAACCGGAATCAAAGCAATTTCTTCCCCCCATATGCCATGGAGGCGCATTCCCGTAATTTAGACGAAGCATGAATGTTGAACTCCTTCGAAGAGAACGAAAAAAAACTAACTGCAATAATGGAAGTCGGTAGATTTGGCTGATGAAAATGGAAGGAGAATACACATTGACAACACGAGAATAACGATCAATTTCACCGCCATTGCTTTATTCTGATGAGGAAAGGGGAAAACAGAGAAGAAGATGAAAGTTCTTTGGGAATTTTTATTGGGCTTTTTGAGAGCTGGAGTACGTGGCGATGAGATAATGTTTGTACGATTCTAAAAAAAACCAAAAAAATTGCATTCATCTAATTTCAATTATTTAAAATGTGTAATTTTTAAAATATATACGTGCACCCGAGACATACATAAAATCTCGAGATCAAATTCATATGGAGAAAATTCTATTGAGAGCGTCACTCATAATGGACCCCTGCAATTCGCGATCTTAATTTAATCGAAACTCCAATGTGAACTCAAAAAATGCAATGCTTCAAGTGCAAGATCGTGTTCGTGTGATGATAACATTAGATCAGCGCCAAAACACATCGGCAAGTCTTTTTATTACACATAAGACCTAAAACCAGTAAACTTGGGGACGAACGCTTGAAAAAGTAGGCAAATTTATTTACATGATTTGCAGATCAGCATAAACTTAACTACATATCTGCTGCTACTGCTTTTGATTCCGTGATTAAACTGATACTGAAGCCAAAGGTTATGCAAGACAGTTCGCGATTGCTTCCGTCTAACATTCTCATCGTAAGAGTATACGAACCCTGTATGTATATAGAACTCTTCGTTAAGCTTGACAAAACTCGCAAAATAACATTTTTCTTCAATATCGTGCAATTGAATATCAGGGAAATGAAACAAGAGTTGGCAACTAATTGTGGCGCAAGTAGACATATGAAATCCATTGAAAGATTCCTCTTTTCTTTTTTTTTTATTGTTAATTGTTCGTTTTTAGATAAAATTGTATCTTTACTCAGGACGAATAGAGAGCTGAGGCTAGCCAAAACCGCTAACAAGAATGAACAAATATATGATCTGCTTCATCACAGGCAGTAAAATCTGGGCGTAGAGTAAAACTCGAAAGATAACTTACCGGAGGAGTGATTCCGGGCAAGGCTTGAGAGTGAGAAATCACAAAATCACCCGACACAGGGCAAGATGTCTCTTCACAAATGTCATGAGACTCCTTGTGAACGTGAAGGAATAGGTACTTGACGTCAATAACTAACTTTCCGCCACTGATATTCTCATCTGCAAGACCAAAACTCACTTTTAAGTCCTTCGTCTACCAATGGACTCGTGTACTGTACTCCATTACCGCGCAATTATCACGCTTGACATCTAATTTTAAGAGGTTTTTCTTTTTCTATACTGCAAATCACCACTCACCATTTTCCCAAAACAAAACACAAGTGTCCTATTGACCCTATTAAAGAGGTTCAAAATATGAACGAAGTAAACGACATAATGAAACCAAAAGGAATTCAATGTCTACGTAACCCCCTTCGCCCCTGCCTATCGCATGCAAAAGTACCAATTATTTCCAATCAAATCTGATGAAGTAGACAATAACAATCGCAAAATTACCTGTAGTCGCAGCTATACTGAAAGTTGTCTCTTTACCTCCTTTGACAGGGTAAGGTGTGATATCCAATCCACGGACCTTAACAACATAATCCGTCTTCTTATCTGCGTTATTAAACCAAAAAAAAGTCTGAATCTTAGTACAGTTTCGTGTCTTAACAATGCCTTGCAGCCAATTGTTTAGTACTACTACCTCTTTTCCAATTTATTTGGAGTACGAGAGTTAGACTAACTAACTAATGTTACATCTGAATCCAAAAATTACATAAAAAGTAGTATGAATCATACGTTATAGTCTACAATTCATTTTATTCAGAAAGTATTAGACACCTCCTATTGGGATTGTGAAGTACAATTCAATTTATATTAAATTTGTTCTCATTTGGCATCTTTGTTATATAAGCCCGCATCATGCTCAAACCCAAAAGTTAAGCTCATTTCCATTCCTCTATCAATGTGAGACATTTAATACTCCCTGCCGCCCAGACCTCAACTGGAACGTGAACACTTCTAAATGGGGTCCATATTGGAACGGATCCGACTCTAATACCGTGATAAGATATAGCAGCTGGGCCTAACTCAAGTTAAATTTCGCATTCCTCTACAAATGTAGGACATCTTCAACCCCCTTTAATTACAAGTTCATCTGAATTCATAATTTTCAACACGTAATATAAATAAATAGGTAAGAATCTTATAAATATTAGATCTGAACCCATAAGTTTTAACAATATAAAAGGAGGATGATCTTCAAAACTAAACCCATTAAATTTTAAATCCTGAACTGACCTAATTACATCATTTAAAATTGATAAATTTTATGAATTTGAGAATGAAAAAACTCACTGCAATATTGGAAGTCAGTGGAATTGGCTGAAGCCATAGGGAAGAGAATACACAATGCTGAGAAGAGAGCAACAACGAAGAGTTTCACCGCCATTGAATAATATTGATCTAAAGCTTCCACAACCAAAACACCCAGATTTTTTTATAATTAATAAGTATTAGAGAACAGACACGTGGAAGTTAGGTTAAAATACACATGTCGAACATGCACGTCTACACGTAATTAATATAGAGCTTCAGTGCGGACTCTGAACACAATGAAAAATAAAAAAAAATACTAAGCTCATGCATGATAAATAGGAAATTTGTATATAATAGCAAATTAATAACCTAAAATAAATGAAGTGACTGGGTTTGATTTAATTGTGCTCCATAGCAAACGTTTGCAAAAAATTGTCAGGCGCCTCTCTCTCAAATATCTCGCTCGCCACTCTCTTTCAATCTCTCGCTCGCACCTCATTTTTTTTACAAACACAAGTGTATAAAAATTATTTCTAATTGTATAAAGCAAAAAAAATTGTATAAATACATATATTTTTGTTCCCCTCTTCCAGATCATGCTCGCCGCCCTCGCCTTTCTCACTTATACAAACAGAAGCGAAATGTATAAATTGTGTTTCTGTTTGTATAAAGCGTGAGAAAGTTGTATATACACATGCAAGTACATATATTTTCGTCCTATACACTTATTATTATACAATAAAAATACTCCCCTACCCAGTTTCTTTTGTCTATCTCTCTTTCTCGTTTTATAAAATTTTCAAATTGTATCTAATTTCTCTCTTTCTCGTTTTATATAATTCGATTCAATTGTATATTCCTTGTCAAGTCTCTTTTGTTTTTCTATCTTTCTCATTTTATACAAATTCAAATTGTATATAATTATTCTATACATTTATAATAATACAATTCGTTTTACACACTTCGTTTTTATACAAATCACTGCCCAAGTGTCTTTCTCTTTCTTGTTTTATACACTTCGTTTTATACAATTTGCTTCAACTGTATATGTATAACGAATTATACGGTTTCTATGTTTACTATGGAGCGCAATTATGCAAACTTTGCTATAGCATACAAATATAAATTTTTTATTTGCTATATGTGAAAGTTGCCCTAATAAATAAGCTTTTAATTTACCTATCTATTTCCCTCTAAAAGCAGAGTCAGAGCCGAAATTTGAAGTTTGGGATTCTTAATATTAGTGTGAAAAATATTTTCACTCCTTGTTCCTTTCCACTGAACTGTTAGTGAATTTTATAAATGAGTTCACAAGTTAATACATATGAGAAAAAAAGTGTAAAATATATTTAAATTTTAATTGAAATTATTGTTACAATACTAAATTTTGAGAGAGACTTTTTATCGCTATAATATTTAATAATATATTTTAAAAATATATAAAATGCTATATACAAAATTTATATAAATAAATAAAAATTGAAATTATTTTCAAAATTTTGTCGTTGGTATTTGGATACACCCTTAAAAATAAAACAAAATATCATCATCACGAGGGAGACTTCCTTTACAAATCAAAAGTAAGTTTGTTCATAACTTGATATTCTTTAATTTTGAGTTCAATAATTTGGTAATTGATAATTAAAAATAAATATTAATAATTAATTTTTTTAATTTCAATTTGATAATCAATAAATTAAATATTGATTTGATACAGTATTCGATAATTTATTAAAGTGTTGGTCAATTGTATTAAAAAGTTAATACGATGTTTCTTTAATTACTTTTATTTTTTTTTATGTGAAGAAACGATATAATAGAAGATTAACAAGTAAGAAAGACATCAAGAAAAATAAATTGATACTACTAATAAAACATATGTATTTGGGTTGTTTATGTTTACTCTTTAACTTTTTCTTTTGACTAGTATTAATGAGTAATAAATATGTTGATATATGACTTCATTAAGTAAATAATTTGGTATTTGTGAAATACTGAACATTAAATAGTACTAGTGTCTCAAGTCAAACCCAAACACCATTATTCTAAAATTTTATTTTCGAATATCTTATTGAATATCAAATTATCAAATATAAAATTATCAAAAAAATTTATTCGATTCAATAATTTGATTTTCAATATTTTATGTTCGGTCTTAACTACGCCACAAAAAAATAATATTAGGTGATCAAGTTGATTCGAAGATTAGTCCTACTTTAAATGACTAAGATGTAACAATCATTCATTTGGTGGAAGATTATTTTAAAAAAAACACCTACTTCAATAGGATTTTTAATTGGTTACTCTAAGCTTTTTAGGTATTATTAATACACTTTCTCCTATCTTACATAAAGTAATACATTAGGTGAAATATTAGCTTTAATTACAAGTCCATAACGGATATTGAATATTGATGACTATATACCCTTATAAATTGAGAATTTTTTTTGTTTGAATTTTTTTTTAAAATATCGTTAATATATATAATTAACAACAAGAATTTACATATCATCAATATTATTTGAAATATATGTTGTAGAGTTCATTTTTCTTGATGCAGCCAACCAAATATATTGTACTACTACTCTCACTTGTTTTGTCCATCTAATAATTTATAGAAAAGTTGTGCATAATAGCTATTGTTTTGAAAAATTGTGATTTGCTTTCTAAAATTTTGCTATTTATTAATTTGTATAATTCATCCAGAATGGTACAATTCACCTAATTATATAAATCAAAATTTTGTATAATTCCTAATTTGTATATATTTACCTTACTATTTGTATGGTTTATGGAAAATTCGCAATAAATTATCATGTTTGTATATATATATTTGCAAGCGAAATCTATAAATAGAGTTTTGAATGTTTATATATTAGCAAAGGAAATATATAAATGGAGTTCTGAAGAATTTCTAAATATATAAATATATATATATATATATATATATATATATATATATATATATATATATATATA